TAGAATTCCGAAATCGAAAACCCAGAAAGCAGTCAAAAAACAAAGAAGTAAATAATGAACAAAATAGTATCTTCCAGAAATAAAGGATGAAAGAAACTTACACATATTGACGGATTAAGAGATGCTGAGAGTGCCGGATAAGTAGCCGGAAGGAGATGCACGCCGGAATCGCGGGATGCTTTATTGCCAGAAGAAAGGGAAAGCTTGAGAATTCTTGAGTGCGAAAAGTATGAAAGAGAGGAAGAAGGAAGTATTTATAGAAGAGGTTGTGGAACCCTGGCTGTTGGATTAAAGAAAAATCAACGGCTCATACGTGGCACGGAATTCGAAGCGGCAAAAGGAAAGGTGGGGCGGCGTATCAGGCCCCAATTCCCAAAATTCGAAATTCGAAATAATAATGAGGGGATATGCTCAAAAAGGGGGCTTAAATGGTGAAGTTGAATCCTACGTGACCCAAGCGGATTTCGTGAGGCGCAGACGAGATGACTTGAGGACAGAGACGAGACGACTTATCAACAAAGGAGAAGGAAGTCACAATTACCATACTTACTCTTAAGCCCTAAAGTTGCTTAGAGTAATTGTTGGGAGGGACTAGATGATATAACCCTATTGTCGCGGTCCGATTCGGCTAGAGATTGCTCGACTAAAGACTGTAGACGATCCCACTAGGTCGAGACAGGCGATGTCGACTCGGCCCATCAGATACCCAGAAATCGTCCAACCGATCATGGTACTTAGTCGACCTCGTAGAGTCGACCGTACACAAGACGACCGCACTCATGATGACGAGCAAGCGTTCTCATAAACCTCACATAGTTGTGTAACTACAAATCGACTCGACAAGACTACAAATCGACTTATAAGGATCTCCAGCAACTCGATGAGCAGATGCGACACATGGAAGGCTCCTAGGCACAAGCTTATAACAGGATAAGAAGGAATCTAGATGCTGACTCAGGAGTAAGCAGAATGTGGACCGACCAGGGCATTTTGGGTACTTCACGTAAGTCGGCCAAGGCATTTTGGGACTTCAAAGTAAGTGTTTTTACCCCTATATAAAGGGGCTGAGGTAAACCTAAACCCTATCTATTCTCATTCAGTACTCAGCTGCTGCTCCCCCTGAGCAGAGCTCTCTCTCTCTCCCTTCACTTACTGACTTGAGCGTCGGAGGCTCTTCACCGGAAAACATTTCCGGTGTTGAGTTCTTGCAGGTGTTCGCTGCGGTCTACGAGCGACTTGGAGGCGATTCGAACAGACCGGAGCTCATTCCCACCGGTTCACTCCGGATCTAGGAGGAGACCCATCATAATCAGTGTAATATTTAGTCTGAGTTCCCACCTGAACTGCTAATCTGTAAGTGCTGCTGCTGATTAATCTGT